AATTTTTTCCTTGCTGTTATAGAAAATAGAAATTTAGATTAAACAACTGAGTTATCTCCTCTTATGTGATAAAGTTTTTTTCTAAATTGAAATAAATAAAACAAATAATCTGTATTTGCAAAAACAGACGTTGTAATAAGATAAAATCCAATTTTCTTAATCTAAATGAAGTCTAACTGATGAATTGTGTTCCTGTCTAAAAAATTTCCTTTTTTTTATTAAACATCCAGACCGGTCGATTTCTGCTATTGTACGATTCAAGATGGCGAAAGACTCGCATGTTATCTTAAAAAGGATAAACATTTACAAACTGTCAACAAAGAAGACTTATTACCGTGCAGATAAGTATGGTTTTGAACAAAGGATAAAGACCCATATCGCAGGGTAAATCATTAAAGTAAAAGGGTAAACTAAAAGGTGAAATTTCAAAAGAGACAACCATTGTACATATCTGTTATCGATGCAAGGAGATTTTAGTCAGAATCAGTAATCAAATATACGCAAAGTCAACGTCAATCAACTGAAACAGGTCCCTGGCTAAGAACTGGCTTCGTCCTTTGGTCTCTGGTTGATAGTGTTGTCTCATTGGTAATCATAAATACCTCATCTTCCTATTTTAGTATTATATACTGCCGTAAGTGTATTCTTTAACAGACTTCTATTTAACCTATCTTTGCAAGATATATGCATATATTTAAGTAAGCAAACGATGTCAAATTGGTTCTAAAGGGTAGCTGATATTGAAGATGGGGTTATGCTAATAGCTTGTTTAATAGAGGTGTGGTTTTATTTTATATTTTAGTGCAGTTTTAGGTCAATGAAGAGGTTAAGCTGATTTATCCTATAATTAATCATATAATTGATTACAAAATGATTGTCTGGAGACAGCTAACTTTAAACAAATCAAATATTTAAGCCTCGTCAGACGGCCATTCATCATCCTGAAAATGCTTGGAATATTTGTCACTGGAAGCTAAGCAAACAGCAATTAATCAATAGATCATTTAGATGGTCATTTGCATTTCGAGGAGTATATAAAAACAAATAAAAGGAAGAACTTTCAAATGAAAAGGGTGAATCCATTCCTATTACTACTTTTATACAATTTGTAATTTAGTTTAAACATATTTTATTTGCTACATCTAAACAAAATGGATGCGACATACTTATGGAGTCTTCTCCATATACAATTTGTAATACTATATACTGCTTTTTAGTTTTAGCGTAAGATGCATGGAAAGATTAAGAAAATAAATCTTAAAATACTGGCAAAACGCTCACAAGTCCGCTTGTAAATTAAAAAAATCATAAAACGGGCGCGGATTCAAAGTGGGGCTCACTTGTCACCCTCTCACCCATAAAAGAGGGGGAAATGTAATAAATGAAAAATTACAGCAGATTTTGTGTCAAAATAAATTCTTTAGTGCCTTATTCTCAGGTACGCCCAATCCCCCCTCTCACATCAAATCCTGGATTAGCGCCTGTAAAATGCTCTTAAAATTGCACCGCAAATACTTCGTGATAACCTTCTAGCGAAAGTATTTCTTACTGTAACTAATTATTCTGTAGAAATGAGGTTTATTCAAGGCCAAGTCTTTATGGGATTAATCTATAGTAAACAATTATTCGTTGTAGGTCAGAAGTTTTTCATAATTAAAGTAAGAACAAAGAGAAAATGTTCATGTAAAAATGTTTTTCCTGTTATCAGATGTACGCTTTTTATAAAACTTCCTTTGCATATTACGATCAAAATAAGAACACATGGCCAATTCCACAGCAATTTATGTCAAATCATACATCTTTAAATACATACTGGATTGATTGATTGCTCGTGTTTAACGCCTCTTTCAACTCTTTTGACTATTTCGTGGTGGTCAGTTTTTATTGGTTGATGAAGCTGGAGTGCCAAGAGAGAAACACCGACCTTCAGCAGGAAAACAGGCAATCTTAGTCATTTAATATTGGAATCGAACGCACCTGCCACGTGCAGGGTTTGAACTGACAACCTGAGGGTTGACAGGATAGTGAGACCATATTTAAACTTCTTAGTCCACTCGGCCACAGAAGACCCCAAATACATACTGGACAAAAAATTGAGTATCATTTCATTCAAAATAATGTTATGTTATTTTCATAATGTTTAATATGGAGGATCGGTCAACATTTGAATTTTCGTTGCAACACTTCGTTGGAGGGTTATTTATTATGTATCATTCAAATAATTTCAGTAATTGTGTCATTTTCAAACCTTTCCATTTTTTATGTAAATGAAACAGTAGACACCTACAGGTCAATGTTCAGGTATGGAACGCCAAAACTGTCTTATTATGTTCATTTTCATTATATGATGTGCATTTGCCATAATATGATGTGATTTTACCTTTACATGATAAAGGTGTTTGCACATCATAAAATGAAAATGGACATAATAAGACAGTTTTGGCGTTCCATACCCAGACTTGATCAGCCAGTTATGTATATCAAATGTCAACATGTCAAACTTCGAATCGTTCCGATTCTATACAAGTTGTTAATGAAAAAAACTGTTGTCAACACTAAACTTCTTGTAGAGACAAAAAAATCATCAGAGAATCATTGGGGGTATTTCTGACTTGCAACAGGCACGTGTGAAGGGGTTTATTATTTAAATTTTACTACCACCACAACGCTTCCGCCCGGTAAAAAAAACGCAAAACAAGAGATGTGAAGTTTTATTGGTGAGGAAACCTTTTTTCATCTTTCGAAATTTCACTTATGTATGAAGTGCAGTGAGCAAAATTTACAATCATTCCCGTTTTCAACTGCTCGATTTGATTGAAGTGACGAAATCAATCGAGTATCATTTCCGAACAAAATCGATCCCATAAGCTTTTTATTTGAAAAAACACTGATCATCAATAACAAAAAGAAAAGGGCTCCGTTTATTCTTTTTTCTGGAGTATGTAATAAATTAAACCAAACCTCTGTGGGTGATCAAAATGATGAAATTATTTCTTTCAGATTTTGACTTCAGGTTAAACTTCCTTTAAGTTTTTGTTCCATATTTATTTATTACCAGGTAAATAAAAGAAATGTATTACCTGTTTCTCATCGAAACAAAAGGGTTATACCTATATTAGGGGACGATCATTTGATTTTCTGGAGGGGGTGAAGGTGCCAGGAGGCTTTTAAAAATGAATATCCTAGCCTGATAAGAGTTGAAAAAAACTAACCTCGCATAAGACAGAATGAAAGTGCATAATCTGCAACACAAAATGCAAGAAATAGTTGTTTACAAAAGTGAAAATAATTGTTTGTGGTGCGAAGCCGTAAAAAAATAAGCATGCGTAGCAACAGATGAAAATGAATAGTCAATCCGAAACCGGATCCAGGGTGTGTTCCGGGGGTTGGGGCCCTCTTTTTACGATTTTTTTTTTTTGGGGGGGGGGACGTTTTATGGTGTTCCGTGGGTTCAAACCACCTTTTTTAAATGGATGGATCCGCGCGTGCGTGACCTAACTCTCTTGTCATATTTATCTTGTTTATTCTGTAACAATCTAGATAATCTTTAACAGAAAGATTAAAAATAGATATGGGTAAACTATAAACATCAACGAGACAGTTAAAACATAATTAAACTGTAAACAAATGATTTAGTTATCAAAATTTTAGTACAATGGAGGAAATGTATTTCATAGAAATATGAATTAAAGGATAAAAATACGGGGTAATCGTCATGATTAGTCTAGACAACAACCTAACGATACAATAAAACAAAACACATCTAGATGTCTATCTTAATCAGACTGGCAAATGGGGGGATGTTTAATGTCAAATTTATATTTTAATTCCCAAATGTGCTAAGTGAAGAACCATTTGATATTTATATTTTTTTGGAGGGGTTGGGGTTGGGGGAGGGCGACAGAAAGATTTTGTAAATAACTATTCTGGCCTGGTAAGAGCCGAAAAAAATAACTTGCCCAAAACAGGATAAAAATCAATATATTATGTCCAAAAAAGGACAGGAAATAAAATTTCACAAACGTGAAAATCAATTTTCGCAAAAAAAGTCAAGCGAGACTCTTATAAGGGGGAAACACTTCCGAATATCAAATGATCGTCCCCTAACTTACGGGTCTGTGGAAATAAGCCTAACAATTCTATAAATATATATATGCATGTCATAAGATTTCGGACACGCCAAGAAAAATGAAACTGAAATTATAAAATTATAAATCGTCAGATTTATGGTTCATAATTTGATATGAAATGAAATTTCATTCTGGAAAAAAATCTACTTAATATTAAAAGAAATGAAAGTTGAGCAGTATTAACATTTACTAGGCCTAAACCAAAGTTACCCAATGAAGGGGAAGTCTGTGCAAACATTTTAATTTACTTGAGAACATTCTGTTAATGCAGTAATAATGTTGAGAACATATTTAAATTGTCAATCAATATATTAAATGATTATATCAACTAAACGAAATTGTGAATCTTTTGATATATGATTATGGGTTGTAAGTGCATTTTTTGCAATCAAATAATTAAGAATCGCATTTGTTCGACACAAAAAGTATTTTAATGGCTTAAAATTTATATCAAAACTAATAGAAAAAAAGCGGAAATGATATAGACTACATATTTTTTTAGATAATTTTAATATTTAGGAAAAATCTTACATAAAATGCATTATCGCTACTGAATTAGTTAAGAAAACTGTAGAAATTTTCTATGTGCAATTTTAAGAAAAATGAAATTTCAGTGTCCCAATGTCTTCGACAGGAATGGTATCTATAGTCGTCCCATGTATACAAGAAATACAATAATACGACAAGAAATATATTCTAATTGAAACTTACATATGGAACCGATCAAGATTATTAAAACTGATCTTACAGGTTAATAACCCCGATTTTTTTCTTCGATAGGTTAAAAATTCTTCTGAACTGGATGTAAAAACAACAGATACAGATAGAAAAACGTACATTTTTTTCTTTAAAAAATGAAATACTTCTTACCTGGTTGATAATTCTCTCGCTCCTTGATTTCAGGTTCTGGACGTAATGCCGAAAATCTTATTTCGGCTGTTACGACCAGGTGTGCAAACCCAGCAAGTAATAAAATCTCTCTAAATAAATCAAACATGTGTTCAAAACTACTTCAATTTTATAATAAATAGAGAAAATATCCAATTTCTTTTGAAATCTACACGAACTTATTCACCACTTGACGATTTTTATTCATCAAATCGATTTTTTTTCTTTGTAATTTTACGTGACAAACAAGAATATTTCTTATTTCTTGTAACTAATTTTTATTTCTATTTAGTTTTACACAAATTGAATGTTTTTTAAGTTTTGATGAAGCGCCCTATCATATATATTTATCTGAGTTTGCATTGATAACCATGATACACACGTTGATTGGCTAAGAATGAAAAGGTCGCAAGTTTGAATGAATGGAACACGCAAAATGGGAGGATTTTTATATTAAACATTGCATGGAGAAGTGTTACTTCCAAACACCTACAGTTAAGTTTTTCGGTAAACACTCTCGCGTAGTGACTAAACCCTACGTCCATACAATTCTTCTCTAGGTGCTAAAATCAGTAAACATTCACTATTATATCCAAAGTGAAATGAAGTCATGATATTAAGTAGTTAGCGATAAAAGATAAATAATTTTGATTTTAAGGTGTTGAGGTTAAGCCACTTCAAACAATACAACAGTATCGAGTCTGTGGGCTATTTGTTAATAAAATGATTACTTTTCGCAATTGGAAAGATTAAATGTTCTAACTACATATCATTATCAAGATAAGAATGGCGGTGTTCTAATTGATTTCATGCTGAGGAATGTGGCATGATGGTTATTAAAACAAAGTTAATGGCTTGATGTGTTGTTTGACTACTATATGACTTAATCTTGTACTGCTACTGATTCATGAACGTGTGTGTAGCTTAAAGAAAAGAGAACTTACATGTATGCAACCGTTTACTGTAAATGCGCTTCAAAAAGGAAAATGTTTGTGTAAGTCCACTGAATATTTTGTTACCAACGTATGCAAGCATCTAATATAAATGCGCTTCAAAATGGAAAATCATGATTTAAGTCCACTGAATATTTTGCTAGTAAAATGTAGGACGACTTTGGAAGACTTCTTTGTCATATGTGTGTAAACAGTCCCAAAGAAGATGCGAAATTGAATCTTTAAAACTTCCAAACCTTCGTGAATTCTATTTTTTTTCTGTATGAAAATGATGACATAGTCTTTTTGACTTTTTTGAGACACATGAAGCGCTACAATATGTTCTAAATGATTTTGAATTGTATTAAAGACAATAAAAGTTAACAGTCAAATCAATATTAAGTTCACCACCGGTTTTGGTTGGGTTTGTGGTACTCAATAATAAGTTTTCTGTGATGTGTTTTCCGGACTATTATTTGTCTGTTCTTTATTTATTTTTTTTTTTATACTTTTGGTTATAATGTTGTCTGTATATATCTTCAAGTTCTGATTTTTGTTTGATTTTTCAGCAGAATTCAGTTCGTGTACAGAGCATTTTGAAGAATTTTTACAAATTGAGAATTCATACTTTTCCTTGAGAGTAACTGTGATCTTTCGTTTGGAAAAATTAGAAAATAGAAGCGACCACATAACGATTATGTAATTTATAAAGAAAAAATCGTAATATATATATATATATATATTCATGAAGATTTTTTTTTTTAAATAAGCTATAATTGTCAGATAACATAGAAATAACAATGCGTATTTTATTGTTTAGAACTGTTCGTTTTTCATGTATACTACCAGAAAGGTTTATTTCAACTGGAGAAGTAGTATCGAAGTCCAACCAATTTGCTTATAATAATAAATTGATTTATGATCTATTTAATGGCTATAATAGTATCCAGGAGATTTAGTAAAATTATAGAAAATTGTGAAAAAAAATGAAAATGTATCAAGGATGATTGTTATTGGCATTTTGAGGAACAGAAATTTTTCAGATAGTTATTTGTAATTTATCTTCCTGCGAGAGACGAAAGGTTACTAACACATTGAGGTATAGCAAGGAGGTATATATGATCTCATTTTGGTTTAGCAACATTTATTTAAAACACCCTATGGAAATGGGCGAAAAGAATTGCATTAATAAAAAATTACAACAACAACAAAAACAATATTCTTATGTAACAATAACATTATCGTCGTGGAAATAATGTAATGTTCTAAGTCCATTTTTTCTAAATGTTTGGAAATTGAATATGGAGTTGTAAGCGCCAAGTTCTAAATATTTGACTTAAAAATTGGAAGATATGTAAGAATTTCATTTATGAACTTGAACAGTAACTCGGTGTGTGCTTTTATTTTGAATAAGCAAGCAACTTAAATTTAAAAAAAAACACACCTGTTCTCGAAATAATAAACTGCAACACAAAATGGATTTTTTTTTTTTTTTAGAAATGTTCTTTTTTTAGATTGAAGATTGACAATGGATTTTTACATCAAGTTATAATGTAATGAGAAATATGTAGATAGAACAGTATAGTTCTGGGTAAAAATCGAAGAACGCAGAAATTTCGTATTCTTGTTTTATATATGGAGATAGATCATCGCAACTGGATCTCAAATATAAAGCTATCTATACTTTATGAAAAGTGGACATTGAACACTATAAAACTCATACGAAGATATATTTAAATGCCGATTTCAAGTTGTGGTCAAAATAAGAATCGAACACATGTAATGTTATACTAATTTAAAATATCCAGCTACGTTTAAAATTAAGTTGGTAGTGCATGTAATTAATGGCAGGGTATTTAAAGTACTTATTTATTCAAGAAAAAAACCATAAAAATCCTTCTGAGGCTCTGCTATTTTACTGAGATAAATTATAAGAAATCGTCAGTCATATCCCTCTTATATTCTAAAGAAAATTCACTCCGTTATACATGAAGTTGTGGACGAAAACTCTATTTTCATTTAAATTTGACCAATTCAAAATTTCAATTCTGGCCTTCCTTATTTTGTTATATATACCGTCTCATTTCGTATTTAGCAACGTTTGGAATAATCAGAACGTGCCAAATTTTGACCCAACATTCACAAGCACTTGTTTCATGCGATGATAATGCCCCTCCCTCTTTCTTTTGGAGGAGAGGGAGGGGGCTTTAATATCGCAAAGGAACAAGTGCCTCTGCCACTATTACTGAGTTGGCTTTTATTGTTTTGACAAAAAAATATTCTGTTCTTGTTTTTAATTACTTACGCTTGACATCGATTTAAGTGATGAAAGATTTCTAACATTAGGTAATATAAGTCTGAGACCAATTAAATACCAAAAAAAAAATGGTCGACATTATCAATTTCAAATTGGTCTAAATAAAACAAATACAATCGTATGAGGTTAACTTTGTCTGAAGTAATTGCAACCGTATAAGCTTTTAGTATGATTCCATAATTTTAGATTAAAACATTTATATTCCAAATGTTGTGTTACTTTCAATAATATTGAAGAATAATAAGCTTAATCTTTCTTTAGTTTCAGCACTTCGTTAAAAGTGTTAAAACTTATGTTAGTTAAACATAAAGTTAACCATCTCAATGCTTTCCCGCCAGCGTACTCTCAACGAGTGCAAAAGTCATGGATTCGATCGAAGGGAGAGTCCAACAAAAGACTTTAATGAATTTGTCCTTTTCGTCTTGACAAAATATATTCTGTTCTTGTTTTTTATTATGTACGCTTGACATCGATTTAAGTGACAAAAACATATTTTATGAGATTTCTATCATAAGGTACATATAAGCCTGAGACCCATCAAATACATTAAAAATGGTCGACATTATCAAATCTTAATATAGTACAAAGCTGAAGTATTAGGGACCAAAAATTTAGAATTAATAATTGCAGCTTTGCAGCCATGAACGAAGAAAGTGATACGTCTTTCTGTGGATTGTTACTTTTTATACAGTATGAAATACGGTTCAGCGTGTTGGTCTAGTACAAAGCCGGGTATCTTCATATATCATTATAAAAACACGTAATTGTGCTGCATATATATGTAATATTTCTTGCTGGACGTTAAGCAGCCATCAATTAATCCATGCTTTTTTATTTTAGTAAGATTTTCAGGACACGTCTGCTTAAATATTTGGAGTCAGATAGGAAACGTTGATTTTAGACCCTAGAGTAATATTATGTGTTGAAAAGAATAACCATTCACATTAATAAAATACACGATTTATTTCGGATATACACTTAAAATTCTTTTTTAATTATATTCTTCTTTTCTTTCTTTCTTTCTTTGATTTGTAGGCTGTAACATTGTGAGGATTTTTTGAAGATTTATAGTTAAATAATAACCGAATCAATTATCATCAAGTAATATGTTGTAAATAGATTCAAGTTATATGTTGTAAAAAGATTCAAGTTATGAATATGCTTGTATGTATTTTTGTATACACTCACTACAGCTATTTGATTTCAAGTTGAGTTTTTAGTTAAACAGCCGTGAAAATAAATGAAAATAGAGATAGACACACAAGCGTGTAAACTCAAAAAGTACTGTACATTTTGGTAGATGGATCATTTTTGTTTGCTGCTCTCTCTCTCTCTGGAAGGCGTAAAAAGGGGGTAAGGTTTTCAGGAGGGTACAGTTTTTACTAGTGTGACTATTCTTATTGACTTTTAGATAAAAATGAATGGTTACGTATACGTCAATCAGAAATCAACCCGCCGATTCGAAAAATCAAAAGTCATTTACAGGGCAAATAGACAGGTGTCTATACAATGTGTCTTAGTCTTCGACAATAGACAGGTGTCTATACAATGTGTCTTACAGTCTTCGACATTAGACAGGTGTCTATACAATGTGTCTTTACAGTCTTCGACATTAGACATGTGTCTATACAATGTGTCTTACAGTCTTCGACATTAGACAGGTATCTATACAATGTGTCTTACAGTCTTCGACATAAGACAGTAGTCTTCGACATAAGACAGGTGTCTATACAATGTGTCTTAATCGTCCCAGGTCTAAAAAGTTGTGGATAGATTAAACCGAATTACTAAAAATTTGTCAGCAACACTCAAATTTATTCTCCAAATAATCTTCTTAGACAAATCAATACTGTATCATTCTACGATCTTGCAGTTGTGGCATAAAAGTTTAACCTAAAAAAAGGAACAATAATAGCATCATAGCTTCTTGATTGATATGGTGTCGTGATCTTTGTACAAGGTAGACTAATATTATATAGATACAAATGTACGATGTTATCACGAGCTTGATTATATTAAGGGCATACGATACAGTTACAGGGGAGGTAATGACGTCGCTAACGTAAAATATT